GGAATTCAGAAGAAAAGAGCCGAAAAGGACCAAAACAGAACAAAGCGATAGTTCGGGGACCAAAGGTGCAAATATTGGAAAGTTGAGCTAAAGTGCAGAATTAGAATGAAAATATACCAAGTATGAGATTGAGGATGATACAAGACGATTGGAGGAAGAAAGAAGTAACATTGGACTGAATTGAAGAAAAGTGAAAGATGAAGGACTAAATTGCAATTAATCAAAAGATGAGCCAAGCAAATGATCAAGGAATTGATTGACCCAAACATCAATTAGGAGGCAATATTTGATAATGGAACAAAGGAAAGAAAGAAAAGAGATCAAGAAAAGAGAAAACGGAGTTTAGGGACCAAAATGACAAGGTTGTAACTTTACAACCTTGCGGCCGCATGTAACTATACCATGCGGCCATACATGGTGTAGCAGGGTTTTAATTGAGCAAAAAAATTGAACCATGCGGTCGCATGGTTTAACACCATGCGGCCGCATGGCCTTAATTTCGAAAAAAAATCTGAACTTCCGTTTTTAATTGAAACTCTTTCGGGTGCTCCGTGAGGACGTGATATAAAAGCCAAAATTTATCAGAAATAGGGTAGAACGTCCAGGGAGAAGAAGAATACAACTTTTGGAGGCAAGGAACACGAACTTGAAGCCGATTTCACAAGGATTCAAGTGGATTTTCAAGGTTTTATTCAAGATTTCAGATTTCAAGAACTTTCATACGAGTGTTATTCTTTCTATTTATTAATTTCGTTTTTTCTATAATTATGAATCTTCTAGGCTAGGTTTTCAATTACTAGGTGATCGATGGACCGTTGTTTGTTATTTTAATTCTATATTTCATGAATTTAATATAAAAACTCGTTTGGATAATTTGATTGATTTACATGCATTAATTTTCTTCCGCAATTAGTGGCCAATGATTGTGTGAGTGTTGATGACTTATTTCTTACATTCGAGAGAAGTGGAATAGGTTCGATAAGGTGTAAATTAACATAAGGTTTGATAGGGGATAGAGATATACCCCTATACTTTATGCAATTCTTAAATTGTTCACAAAACTACATGCATTCTTGTATGTTTGCATCATCCATAGAGATATAGGCTGGTGGTGTGTAAGAATAGGTCTAATATATATCGAGAGAGTATATTGGATAGAATTAGGAACATTGAATTGACAAATTTTCATCGAATCATTAATTTTGAGAAATTAGGGTTTTTATAACTTCAATTGGGGATTCGTGATTCTAGTGACTTTAGTTTGATTCATTTTAATAAATTAGCTTTCAGATTTGCTTAATTTCATTTACTTGAGTGTTTAAGTCGTTTAATTAGAGAAATTTCGAAATTAGGGTTTTTAATTGAGAAATTAGGGTTTTTAGTTGAAATTAGGGTTTTTAATTCAAATTAGGGCTTTTTGCATTTAGACCATATTTTCACTCAATTAGATTCGATTAAGGCTAAATTATATAGAATTGAACTACTCAATCTCTAAGGGACGATATTCAGACTTTTAAAAATTCACTTTATTACTTGTTATGAACCGTACACCTACGGTAATTTTAAATCGAAAGAATTATTTCGCAAACATCAACCAAAACAATTCCACACAAATTATACCATAAAGGTAAAAATATAGATTTTATCAAAATAAAAGACTTCAATCACTTAAGAGCAAGTAATTTCTAATTTTTTGTACAAGCAATAGTTATCCCACACGATAACCCAAGTCCTGTTGTCATCCCCACAAGATGACACACTAGTGCAAAAATTTAATCGGGATAAGTCAATTTACCAAAGTAAACCACGTTTGAAAGTCCTCAAAATCGAGAGATGTGAATATGTTACTTTAGGGTCATCACTGTTCGTCTTAAATGTTTAGCAAATATTTTGGTGCGATTGACCAATGATCGCAGATCAAGCATCCAGGGGCAAAATCGTCCAAATAAATTATTATAACCTAAAACACAAAATTAATGATATCAGTATGTTCAAAAAATTAACACGAGCAACCTGTATGAAGAAAATTTCTCCAAAGTCACCGTCATACGCTACACGGGGAGGAGCGCCTTCACTTACTAAAGCTAGGTCGGGTCTTAGTTTATCCGATCGGTGACTGGTTTGGTCGGAATTGTAGCTTTTATGTTCGATTTGGTCTTGAAAAAATCAAAATTTAATGACGATTTTGGTCTGAAAAATTCCACCAACACTCTAATACCAGATGTAAGATGTGAAACTTGATCACCAAAGTTCTTTCCAGGCTCAGAGCATCGAATCAATCCACACCTCAATGAATAAAATCGAACCAAAAACCCTTAACATCTCACACTTATGGTTGCTTATTTTTAACCCACAAAGGACACACTAAAGAAGGTATAATCAAAGATGCGATCGGCCACTAAGGTAAGAAAGAGGAAAGAAAGCCGTGGACCAAGAATCACATAGAAGAACCACGATTTTTCTCAAAATGCAGACGAATTAATGAAAATGCATACATACTGTCCAAAAGAGGGACGGCCAAAATAAATAGGTAACATTAGGGTACAGTCAAGCCCAATAGAAGGATAATGGGCTAAGTATATCACTAAGTGGGTTACCTTTTGTAAGTCGTCCAAATAAAAGAAAAAAGGGCCATGAGCAGCATTAATAAATTATGCTGCTTTTAATGGTCAAAACAGTTTTGGAGTTGGATCATTTGATTGAGGTGTCGATTTATCGTTTAGTCATTTGATCGATGCCAATTGATAAAATATACCGAGTTACATTATCGTCTAAGAGGTCGTTTGACAACAATTTGCATGACAACCATAATTCAGTACTTTGTCCATCGCAAGGAAATATTAGGCTACTTTTACAACATCTTGCCCCCTCGGAACAAACACGCAACGTTTGTTTTCATCATAAGAAAACTATTGCTACCACAACACCTCTTCTTTCCTGGATTTATCTTCATCTCAACCTTTAGTTTATTACAAAAATGCAACTATTTAGACATCAAGATGTTCATTCAAGTGGAAATATCAACCTTTAAGTCTGGTTCCTCAGTTCTATCTTATCAGCCTTTACCTTCTGAAATGAGCAAAAATTAATTATGTTACCCAAATCTGTCTGGAAATTACCGTCGTGCATTTCTCGATGAGTTTCGAACAATTTTTTGTCAAAGATGATACTGGAGGGAATAAATATTAGATTTCCTTTCACGCTGAGGGTAAGAATAGAATGCTTAAAAATAGGTTGAAACGAAGGTGCTAGTGACGTGACGGTTTGACGTGTCAAAAATATTCACATCTCATACAAATGGAATTACAGGTGGCAATGGGATGAACTGATCGTAGACACTCGAGCTCGACTCGTGTCCAGATCCTAATATTAACTCGGTCCTTTGGCTCATCGAGTCAAGCTGCGTATGAGCCTGCACACAAGCCCAATTGAGTCGCTTGTGAAAAAAGGTGAGCTCTGCTCAACCTCTAACTTGTCTCAAAATGAGTCTGAGCCATCGAAGACTCGCAGGTTCAGGCTGAACACACTAGCCGACAAGGACTCGGCCCGTTGCTACCCTTAGATGAAGTGGAAGGAAGAACAATGTTATGAAAAACTTATTGCATAGCCATTATTGTCCGGATAAATATTCTTCTTTTTCATTTCTAAAATTATAGAACTGTGCTGAAATATTATCCTCGTTTTTCAAGCCTTGGTAGTTACTTTCTATATTGCTGGGCCTATAGAATTTTTATTTTCTTGTGTCTCTTATAACATGTTTAGTACTATGGAACATACAATACTCGTAATTGTTGATGAAGAAAAGGAAGCAAAAATCTTGTCATTGTATTCTACAGTTACGTGTCCTTATTGTATTCTCGATATGCTCTGATCTCAATCATTGTTCGATGTCTGTGCTCACAGATTCGCAAGCAGGTCCCTGATGCTCGTCTATTAGCATGCTTTCTCTTGCTCGGAGGCTGGATCACTGTGGTTTGCTCAGCATGTCGTGAGCTTGATCAAGAATCGTATATCAAATTCAAATTTATAAAGGCTCGGAATAATGTTCGAGCACATACACTAAGGGTGCGTTTGATTACAAGTAGGAAAATTACATGGAAAGAAAATGAATTCCAAGGAATTGAATTACCTAGAAATTGTTTTCATGGAAATTGTAAATTATTGTGTTTGATTGTATAAATTTTTCACGTGGAAAATGTTGAAGTAAAAGTATTTTTTGATGTTCGTTTGACTTTGTTTTACGTGGAAATTGTCAATTTCAGGGATATCCTCTTTTACAATTATTCCTAAAATTTGTTCCCATTGCTAACAATTAAAAAAAAAATAAAAAAAGAAAAAAAAAAAATTAAAAAAAAAGGTGGAAAACCAAAAACCACCTATCCCCTAGGAAAAAAAAAGGTGGAAAATCACGCTTTAAGGTGTTGTACCTAGAAATTCATGGAAAATCAATTCCCTGGAAAATTTTGTCAATCAAACAGGCCAAAAGTGGAAGTTGGAATTCGAATTCCAAGTTCCATGGAAAATTTCGTGCAATCAAACGGGACCTAAGTTATTCCGGGTGGATTATGAGAACTGGTCATAGCAATTATATCTCCAAGGAGTGTATTTCTGTTTATGATATGTTTGGGAAAAAAAACTAGATGATATTGGACTCTATTGATATATTGTATCAATATATCTGAGCATATCTAGACCGTTGGTGATGAATCAAGTGGCCTTTTCATGTAGGACTCAGATCTTCCTGTCAGCATTGAGCCTCTTGTATATACCATATTATTATTTTAAACTTACACATCAACTCCTATAAACTTTATGTGGCAACTGGGCTAAATGCAATATTGCCTTACAAAATAAACATTATTGTGACAGTCAACGCTTAAGGTAAAAAGCCTGTTACCCTTGTTCATCACAGCCCAATTAAAAATTTCAGATATATGCATGCTTAAAGCCATCTCAATTATACCTTGTCAGATAGCACCCGAAGTCACTCAAGAGTCCAACCTCACACGCAGTATTTATATGAGAGGGCACCTCTCATTGTTCCAAATCCAATGCCCAGCTCTCCCTCAGGCACCCCCATACACACAGTAAACACACTCTTTGCTCTGAAAAATCGAAAATGCCAACCAGCAAGAAAAAGTACATTCTCAACACAATGACTGTAAGCTTAGGTTGCAGCAGCAGTTGTAGAAGGCCAAAACTCTCCTCCATTTTCCACCCAAAACCAAGATATAAATCACACTCTTATCTCCACCACCAATACTCTTCTTCAAGCTCATGGAACACCACCACCACTGCCACCGCCGCCACCACATTTTCCGACATTCCACGGGCCTCCTACTCTTCCGACACCGAGTCAGATATCAAGAGCTTGAGGGCTGTTCAGGGCTTCGGAAGAATTGGCAGCCAAAGCGTGGCGGTCGAGAAGGACTCTGACGACCCTTATCTTGATTTCCGGCAATCAATGCTGCAAATGATACTGGAAAAAGAGATTTACTCAAAGAATGATCTTAAAGAACTTCTTAACTGTTTCTTGCAGCTCAATTCGCCATATTATCATGGAATTATTGTAAGAGCTTTTACAGAGATCTGGAATGGGGTTTATTCAGCGAGGTCTTCCTCCCCCAGGTTGCATGGAGTGGGGATGTCACGTGACCTTTAGGTGATATGCACTTGCAATGCATGTCCAACTTGTTATGATTAAAGTCTTGTCATTTTGTGTCTGAATATTAGTATGATAAACAGAACCCATAAATTACATAAGAGGTTCTTGTTTTGATTAGCGATAGGTAGGGAAAAGAAAAGGTTTAATTTTCACGGCATTTTTAATTTCCTTGTATTAGTTTCATGAAGAAATGTAAATGCTGCTCAGGGAGTAAAAAATACTGTGAAAATTGTGATCTTTCAGCAGCTATTAGTGAATGCAATTTTTCTTTCGTCCGTTTTAGTTAATGATATGTACTATTTGGCCTATGTTTGGCTAATGTAGTAAACAGTTTATAAATGTTAAACCCACTTTTTATTTATATATTTCGTGGGACTTACAAAATACAGACTTATTCATCATTTTTTTCATAATTTAAATTATTTATAAACGTGAGAATTAACTCTTAAGCACCGGATAAGAATTGGAAAATTTTACGAGAAACTAGGCAGATAGAATGGTCGATATTTGCCAGAGTTTGGTCACTGAAAGTGCAACCCTCTTCGTGACAAGACACCATCCCTCCAAACGTTACAAAGATATTCTGCGACCCTCCTTGTGAAGAAGCGTATCGCTCTTTTGGCAAGTTTCTCGAAGACCATTTACCCAAACATACTCTCAAACATTTGCTTGTCACTTATTACTATAGCAAATTGGAGAAAGTTTGTCTAAATGAGTTCAAAAGTACTTACTGTACATATTTTACACTTTTTCACGTGTCATTACATCATTAGATATTTTTAAAAATAAAATAATTTTTTTATCCTATCTATTCTTGACGATGTGGATGATGTCCACCATAATGAAAAAAGGGGTCTCTACTTCATGCATACAGGGGCCTTTTCCATGTAAAGAAAGTTATGTATTTATGTATGCTCTTGTTCGGTCTCCATTAAATTAAATTTTATTTTTTCCTCTTTTATTCTCAATCACACAATTTTTTATAAATTAATATTACACATAAATTGAAAAATTTTCTTTCTTTTTTTAATCACTCATTCTTCAAAAAATCTATGTTGTCAATAATTGATAGAATGAAAAAATTATTTTATTTTTAAAATATCCAATAATGTAAAAATATGTGACAAAGTATAAAAGATGATGTAAAATACGAAATACACGCATTACTTTTGAACTAATAACTCAAATGAGTAATGGTCAGCATCGATATTTACGAGTCTGTAGCTGTGCTTCTGTCTGTGGGAAAAGGATAGACGTTGGGATTATAAAGGCCATGAATAAAATTGTGGCAGATATTTTAATGCACTTTAAGCACAATAATTAGCACCAGTTTGTCACGCCGAAATTAAAGAGTTTTGAATAATATTTTTGGTGAATATATGATTAAAAAGTAAAAAAATATTATTGATTTTTATGTAAAATATTTTATTATATAAATATGTGATAGAGAATGATAATATAGCAAAAAATTTAAAATTTTAAAAGGTGACAAACAAGCATATTTAGTAATGATTATGATAATTGATTTTTTGTTCGTTAAATAGAAAAGTGGGTCTCACGTGTAAGTGAAAAAGTCATAAATGACAATCAAAATAGTGAAATAACGGTAAAAAAAAATTGATTTTTTGGATGAAATTTTGCTATAAAACGAGGGCTTAATATGTATTTGTTTTGTAGTGATTTTAATAATTGATTTTTTGACCTTTAAAAATAAAGTGAGTCCTACATGTGAGATAAGAATTCAAAAAAAACTACTGTAATAGTGAAATAAAAGTCAAAAGATTGATTTTTATCGACTTTTTAACTGTACCAAACTAGCTCTATATTTGTAACTCGACTTGTGATAATAACGTTTATAATTTTCATTTGGTTTTGCTAAAATTAAAATTTAATAGATTTGAATAAAAGTTGTTAAAATGTGTTTGAAAAATTGATAGGACGTGTGAATTTTAACATGTAAAGTTAAAATTAATTATTAACTTTAATTTTTTTTATTAACCTTTTTTAACTGAACCAAATGTAGCTAAAACTTCTTCATCGTGCCTGCTTGTCCCAATGAGATTCACTTTTGGCTAATTTGATTGTTCTTCTCTTCCTATGTATTTATGAGTGTGTATATATTATTGCTTTGTGATCTCCAATGGTCAGTTGATGATTAAATTATACCCACCGCTATTTTGCATGTTGAAATTAATGCACTCGAGTCAGAAGAGGTAGTCTATTGTAGCTGTTAATAGAAGAAAAAAATTAAATATTTGATTCTAAATTTATTACGAAGATCTCGATTATTGATATAAAACTTAATTTGCCATATTACACTCATTAATCATTATAGGAAAAAATTTCTTTATTTTCAACATTAATCAATGCAAGAAATGAACATGTTTGTTGAGCTTATGGCATCATTTGTTTCTCATTCGTTGGTCACAAAAATGAAAAGTATGATCGTTATTTATCACATCATGTTATCATATGTGACTTCTTCTCTCTTGTATGGGTTCGTAAAAACTATATTTTTCATTTTATTTTTACGAGGTATAAGTGTATTTTAAGCATAAGCAAGAAAGAGTAAATGCAGAAGCAATATTTCACGGTTTAAATTTATTGTTCTCTCATTATAGATGACGTGACGTGTATCTGTATGGCTGCATCGATATGAAGTAGTAATTAATGTACCAACGGCGGAAAAATTTCTAAGAAATTTACCGTGTGATCTGAAGTCAACTAGCTAGTATCCAGCTTCCATCAACCAGGCTAGTTACTCTTTCAATATTTTAGGTTGAGTTTGATATTGGATTAAGCTCCCGTTTGCCTTTGCCCCCATTATTTGAATTTTAATGGAGGAATAGTAATTTTGTTGAAGATTGTGTGGTTAAAAATAGGAGAGAGAAAAAATTAAATTAAATTAAAGAATTTTAAAAAAGGCCAAACGGGGGCTAAATAACTTCTGTTCGGTTCGGTGGGGATTAAAATTAAAATTTTAACTAAGTGCTTGTTTGGTAGGAATTTTGATAATTGATAAGTGTGTCCTACCTGTGAGAGAAGAATTTAAAAAGGCATCTGAAATAGTGAAATAAAGATAAAAAAATTGATTTTATTTGGCTTTGAAGCTGTACCAAACAAGCTCTAAATCAAAGTTAGCAATTAATTTTAATTATATAATTAATGAGATTCACAATTATTAAACCACACATTTCATTAATTTTTATCAATATCTTTTCAATCACACGTTCTATTATTTTTTATCAAAATGTACTAAAAAACTGAAGGACGCACAGGAGAATCTTTATGTTAGTGAGAGGGAGGTTCATCAAATCAAGAAAAGATAAATGCATTTCTTGTAAAAGGTTGTAAACATCAATGCCAAATCCATAATTTCAGCCAAACAGTGTGCCAGCTGTTTGCACTGTTAAGTGGGGATGAGATGTTCGTCTCGAATGCGACCGGCTTGTTAAGTATATTTTCAGTTAACAAAAGAAAACATGAACCTCGAGTGGCTCGTAGACTTGACTCGTCTCATCAATGGACAGCTTATTGGAGTGAGTCGAGCTAGAGGTTTTGATAACGAGTCAACTTGTGCTTAACTCATCCATATATGAGAACAAACCGACTAACATGATGAGTCTAGCTAGATCTCAATGAGTCAAATAGCTCAACTTGATCCAATCATCACCTGTATATGGTGGCAATGGGCCGAGCCGGCCTTAAACGCATGAGCTCATGAGCTCGATTTTATTTTTATTTTTATTTTTGAAAATTTTCAAATTTTTTCTTCACATTTTTTATGAGCCCACGGCTCGTGGACTAGTGAGCTCTTGCTCGGCTCTTTAGAACCCACCCCTGCTCGGATTACCGCTTGTCCGTTTGACATCCCTACACCTATATCTCACTCATTACTGATTGTGCAAAATCGTGTGCAATGTTCTAATGATGTCTCTGTCCAATTGGGCACTTAATGCTCTGCAGGGTTGTCATTGTTACTAGCCCTACCCCTTCTTGTTCTATATAGGGTTCAACCTTTATATAATCCAATAGATGATTATGTATTTTTGTATGAAATTTGGTGAAAACGTATATAATTTTGATCTTTTAACTTTAAAGTATCTATTTTTCGTTAGGTTAATTACGTTTATTTAAAGGTTAAGTGGTTAAAGAGCATATATGTTTCTTATGTATGTGTCATATATATGTTTTTCGTATTAGATTAACAAATAAATTTTTTACAAATTGATGATTACGAGATTTGAACTTTGAACATTTATTACCTTGTTATTATTTATATTTATTTTGTCCAAAAGTTTAGATGGAAAAAGAGAAACATATTATTCCAATACTTTCATGTGTAGCATGGTTTTTTTTATCCATCAATGACTAGACACTTGAATTTTTATAAGACATCTCACTCTGAATCATGTAATCCAAAAATTTATATTGTTAGACAATAATTTTTTTTATATCTTCGAGTCTACGACAAAGTCTTAATAAATATTATAAAACTAATGAAATTTAAGAAAATATTCATTTTCAAGCAAAGAGAACACAATCAACTTTTTCTTATTCTTTTTTTTTTTGGCGAAAATCTTATTGTTCGTTAAGCCAAAATTGTGCCATAAAAAGCAATACAAGAAGTATTTGACCACTTCATACGTGCTTCACTTAGCTCGAGAGAACATAACTCAGTTGATAGGACTTCACTTTGAAAATGGGCCGAATTAAAACTATAGTCAAAGAAAACCATGAGTGCTATCGTTAGTTACCAATAACTCCCCCTTTTATGTATTGAGGGATCTTGAAAAAAATCAAATTACTCAAAATTTGATTTAAAAAAAAAATGAAGAAGAAAAAGAAAAAGAAAAAGAGGGATAAAATAAGACATTCTGGTTCCTTTTCATTCTTTGGAAGATTTTAAGTAGACACAAAAACAATCTCCACGTGAATTTCTGGGTGGGAAACACCTTTTGCTCAGATTTTATTTAGTTTTAATTCAACAGAAATGATAAGAAAACAAGAAGAGGAGATTAAATGATAAGGATGTTTCTGATAAAATGTGCTTTGAAACTGATTTCTTGCTTTTGTAAACAAACAAGTGTCTGCCCGCAATTGTTGGATAAAAGGAATTTATAATTCAATCAAAAGTAGATTTATGGTGTCCTAAACTAAGTCTCCATGTGATTACTTGTTTGTTTGTCCATTAAAGTTTTATAGTTGATGTAAACGAAAACTGTTTTAACCTTTATATTCTCAATGGTTCTCGTGATAATGTGTTTCACTTAAATTTCTTGACACTAATTCGATTTGAGAAATAAAATCAGACATCATAAATTTAGACATAAAGTTACACAAGT